AAATTCGGTCTAGGATAAAGGGATGGGGTGAGAATTTTTTATCAAAAGCGGATAAGGAGATGTTAATTAAAGTTGTACTTAAATCGACCCATCTTATGTTAAGGGTTGTTTTCTTATTCCAAATGGAATTCTACAGGAGATTGAAAAATCAATTAAACAGTATTGGTGGGGTTGACCTGAGTCTTGAGATGTGTTTGGTAGTGCCTATTCTTCCTCACAAGTAAATAGCATTTTCTTGGTAATTGCATGGAAAACGACCTTAGCTTCGGTGTCCACAAAAATATTATTATTATATGGAAAAAACAAGTCTTTAAATTGTTCTCGATGAAAGTGATATCTAATTAATTGGAATGAGCCTTAGTTTACGCGTATGAGATTAGTCCTCAAATTTCATTTATAGCTCTATAAATATCCACTCTCTCTTTCTTCCCAATTCGTAACAAATATTCCCCACTCCTCTCGCAAATCTAATTTTTTTTTTTTTGCCTTCTTCGATCCTTACATTGAGACCATCTTAAAAGTCCAACAAATTCAAGAAAAATGAAGGTATTTAGCATAAATTAAACTTCAAGCTCTTCCTTTTATTAGATTCTTTGTTCTTGATTTTGAAACTAAATTGTTTGTTTTAATTTAATTTGCTTGATGAATTGCAGACGAAGATTGTGGTTAAGGTGTCAATGAACGACGACAAATCTCGAACAAAGGCCATGCAAATATCGGTCGGAATATCAGGTGTTGAATCGGCCGCTCTAACGGGGCAGGAAAGGGACAGGGTGGAGGTTGTCGGAGATGACGTGGACGCAGTGGAGCTGACGCGGCAGCTGAGGAAGAACGTTGCCTACGCAGAGCTTGTGAGCGTGGGTGAGGCCAAGAATGAGGCGCCCGCTACCGCCGCCGCCGCCGTGGTTGCACCCGCCCCGCAGCCGGCGGTGGTGTGGACGTCGTACGACGGATTCCCGCAATACCCAATTTATGAAATGAGGAGTCCAAGCTATGAGCCGTCGTGTACCATCATGTGAACATATATATAAATATAGCAGAAATAGTGAAAATTAGTTATTATTTATTTTCAATACTTGAGGCTTAATTTCGGTAGGACTTTGCACCATCGAATTACATGCACCATTGACACTATTGACACTCTATACCCTTAAATTGAAAAAAAATAGAAGAATGCACCCTTTAATTACGACTTAGTTGACACTTAATTGTAGTTTGAGGGATTTTAAGATGGGAATTTTTTCAATATTTTATTTGTCAGAAATTTAAAAATAGTCATATAATATAATCTGATTCATCGGTTTACCCATGTTCTCCATTTTCTTTAATTGGAGTGACATATTTCTCTTCAATTTTGTTTTTTCTTTTTCATTCTTTATTTTCTTCCACAACCAATCCCGGTCAAAAACTCCGAAGCAACCATTGCCCTGAAAACTAACTCCAGCAGTGGATTTTGTGCAATCTCCAGCGGCGGATTTTGAGCAATAGTGAATTGAAAGCATAACAATGCATATAGGTTCAGAATTGGGGATCTCAATATAATTAAGCCAATTAACTTTGAAATGGTGGTGGTGGTGGTGGTGGATTGAAACAGATAGAGTATAAGTGGGGGACGAAGGAAAGAAGCCACGGGAAAAAAAGTCACTGGAAGAAGAAATGAACGATGGCTTGAGAGATGTGTGTTTGCGATGACGCTTTCAGCCGTAGCGGCGATGGTGCGGTGGGCGGCGGAGAAGGAGACATAAAGTTAGGAAACTTGGATGCAAAGTTGGGGAAATTGCCTCCGGCGAATTTCTGTTTTTTTTTTTTTTTTTGAAAAATTGCAATCAAGGGGGTAAGAGGGTAGCTGACATCGGCGATTTGGATTTACATAGTGCAGCCGGAAGGTTTCATATCTTTTGGAAGTGAGCAAAAGGTTTGCAAACTCCAGCGATCCATTTATGGATTGAAACAAGCATATATCCCGTAGTTGAAACATAAGGTTCGAATCAACTATCAAAGAGTTTGATTTTGAGAAGAACCCGGAGGAACCTTGTGTATACAAGAAGGTTAGTGGGAGGACAGTGATTTTTTGGTGCTTTATGTCGATGACATTCTACTCATTGCGAATGACATAGGAATGTTACAACATACTAAAGCTTGGTTGTCCACACGTTTCTCAATGAAGTATTTGCGAGAAGCATCTTACGTATTATGAATACGTATCTATAGAGATAGAGCTAGAAAGATGCTAAGCTTATCCCAAACCCTGTACATAGACGCCGTTATGAAATGGTTTAGCATGGTAGAATCCAAGAAAGGATTCTTGCCAATGTCCCATGGGGTTCGTTTCTCAAAATCCATGTGTCCTCAGACACCTAGTGAAATCGAGGAGATGAAAAGGCATCATATGCATTTGCCATAGGAAACATAATGTATGGCATGCTATGTACTAGACTCGATATTTCATATGTTGTGAGCGTCACAAGCAGATATCAGTCTGACCCCGGTCCAGCTCACTGGAGTCTGGAAGGCTGTGAAAGATTATCCTCAAATACTTATGAAGGACAAAGGATATATTTTTGGTCTATCGCTTGAAATTAGAAGGCTTTACTAACTCTAGTTTTTAATCGGAGTGGACGACTCAAAGTCGAACTCGGGATTTATATTCACGCTTAATGGGGGTGTCGTGTGTTGGAAGAGTTCCAAGAAAAGCACGACGGTTGATTCCACTACCGAAGTTGAGTATATTGCAGCATCCGAAGCTGCAGAAGAAGGGACTTGGATAGGAAAACTCATCCAAGAGTTGGCCGTGTTGTTCCTAATGCTGATGATCCAGTACCGTTGTACTGCGATAACACCGGAGTCGTGGCGCAAGCTAAGGAGCCGAGATCTCATAAGAATTTCAAGCATATTGTGAGGAAGTATCATGTGATCCAATAGATCATTGATAGAGGTAAAGTCAAGGTAGAACGAGTCACCTCGGAAGAGAACGTAGCAGACCCCTGCACGAAGCCTTTATCAAGATCGATCCACGAGAAACATCGAGAGTCGATGGAATTACAATTTATGGGTAGTTGATTTTAGGTCAAAAGGGAGATTAGAGTAGGTGACCAACAAGCCAACTTGTGGTTGTGGTCTTTCATTTATTCTTGTAATAAATAATCCTTTTTGGTATTAATGATAAAATACCTTTTGGCGTTCTATATATTTGTCCCCTGCATAAGCATAGATATAGTCCTTACGGTTATTATAATTGCTTATATTTGATCTATTAGGATCATGAGATATTTACTTAAGTATTATAACTGTTAAACCGTGTTCCTAGTCGAAGGGTTACGCCACCATGAGGATATCGGCATTTCCCATTAAGAGACTAGCACTTAGTGCATGTTACTGCTTTTCATCAGTAAACGGTATTGTGATATCGACATACATAAGTGGGTGCTCGTAAGTTGACGAGTTCACTAAACTCCCTCATCCTAGAAATGTCTAAGTGGTTCTCAATAATCGAGTAGAGATCTCTATGATATAGTTGTACACTATTAGTCCTTAAGACCTAGACATCACCGTGACTTCACTAGAGGACCAGCTGTATCGTGACCTGTCCCTGAGTTCCACCGAGTACGGCCCCAAGAGCCAGTGTTCGTGCAGTCTGATATCTAGTGGGAGGTTTGTGCATTGTAGTCGGGGATTCGATCGCTAGAATAGTCTTGGATGTCCTGTGTGTTCTCATAGTTTGTAGTCTTTAAGTCTCTGGCCAGAGCTGACTAAGTGATGATTAGGGAATGTGATTCTCTAAGTCATGCACGTACCGATTACAACACTTAGAACGATCGCACAGTTATTGAACTATAAATGAGGTCTCGATGAGCCAATTCCTCTAGTTCAACCGGGACATATGCATCGAAGGGATCGTACTGTACATTAACTATATCACTCGGTTCTTACAAGCACTTCATTTGTATCTAGGGAATCATGATGCGTAGTTGCTAGACGCCATTCTTGATTCGTTGGGTGATTAAGTTGAAACGGGCTTCATCTTAATTATAACTCTAGGGACGAGTATAAACCACAATGAGTTGTGGGACCAAGGCTAGATTACACCTGAACCATCGAGGGTCACACTACCGTCCATCGCCGAAAATCGGCGCCCCACCTGCCGTTTGTTCTCGGTATACTTTTATTTTATTATTCTTCCGTTTTATTCTGACTTTTGCGTGTCTAGTGCCACATATCAGTTGAATTCGGTATACGGGGTGAAATCCGAGAGGAGGAAGACGAATGAATTGAACTTCCGAAACGCCGCCGCCGTACGCGCCGCCCGAAGACAGCGCATGAACCGAAAGCGCCGCTGCTGCCCCGCGCGTCTGTCACCGCCCTTCTCCCGACTGCACGGATTGGTTTCCATGGCAGTTTGAGTCAATCCGAAAGTTCGCCTCACGCTTCAAGAGGTAATTTTCGGACCCGGTTATTAATTAATATTAATTTAATTTCAATAAATTAAATGTTTATATATGCAGTGTTTATGCATGATTTGTGATTTACTGCGATATTGCTACGTGATTTAATTAGCGAATTAATTATATGCATGTTTGTTTTTAATTTACGCTGGAAGCATTAAGATACACAATTAATTGCTATTATCGAGTACGTGTTTATATGATTAAATTCGTTTTTGATATAAAAAATTTATTTTCCGCTGCGTACACTTGCCTGATTCCCAACAATTTTTACATAGGTTTTACGCGTATCATCTACCTCCTTCTCTTCCCTATCTTTCTGCTCTATACCATTCACATCTATTTTTGTTTCTTTGTTTTCCTTTTCCTCCTATTTTCTTTTGTTTTATCCATCCCAGTCCCTTCTCCTATATTCTCATCAATTTCCATTTCTTTTTCTTTGTCATCTGCTTCATCTTCCCCATTTTTTTCCTCTATCCCATTCCCTTCTCCTATATTATTCTCGTTTCTTTGCTCTCTCCTCTTCTTCCCTATTTTTCTCCTCTACATCTCTTTTTTTTATCTTTTCTCTGAAATCTTTTTGCTACTGGTTTCATCCTCCTCCTCTTCTTCTCTTTTCTCTTGTTTTTTTCCTTCTTCCCCATCGTCTTTTTTTCCCTCATTCTTTGCCTTCTTATCTTGTTTCTTCTTATTCACAAGTGTCTCAGTCTTCCTCGTTTTCTTCTTCCCACCTCCACCTCCTTTCTTCAATGTCTTCTTTTTATTGTTCATCGGGTCAAAAAAAAGACGCATTGGCTTGCCAAAATCCTTGAAATAGGCAATGTATAGGATCCAAAAAAAATTTAAAAAATAGTACATGCTTATTATTTCGATAGTGCATAAATAACATTATAAAGATTTGTGTGAGCACTCAATGTCGTATGTAAGCAATACACTAAATGTGATTTCTTAAATCCTAAAACCAATAACAATAAACATAGTTGTTGGTCAATATTTCGAATGTATAGAAGTAGTAATCAACTTACATATTGTTCTTCTTCGTGCTCAATCTCCTCGTTTTCTTTTTTCTGTTTCTTCATTTCATCTATTTCTTACCTCAAATATGCAATTACTTTATATCTAGCTTTAAGAAGGATTGTTGCTTCTAAAGTGTTCGAGAACATCCCATCTATATTTTCATTGTAGACAATATACAAATAACTAATCACAATAATACCATGGGACAACTTGCGTACATACTAAACTTCTCTGGAAATTTGTTGTTCTAGCACACCAAAAAAAAAAAAAAACAATCAAAACTCTATAAATAAAAACTACAGTGTTTTGCAACCTAAAATGGCGTGAATATAAACGAACATATTTGTATCAATAAAATAAAAGTGAAGAATCATAATACCCAACTGCTTAAATCCTCAAAATCGTGCAATTCAACGAAAATAACAGGGTTTCGAAAACTCTAACAACAAAATAACAGTTTTTTGGTACCGTTAGGTTTTCAAATTGGATCAAACCACCATGCAATTGTTAGAAGAGCACAAAATCAAATATTTATAGAACAGGGTACCGCCCTTTAGATATACAATTTTGAGAAGGATAATCGTCATCAATTTTCTCTCTCGGGAATGCACAACGTTTGACTTGAAGTGATTTCAAAACAGACAGAACAATTAATGTTGTTGTCCGAAAACGTTTGTCGAAAAACGTGCCAAAAGTTTGTTGGAAAATGTTATGGAAAATGTTTGGGTATCAATAAATGAATAAATGTTTGGAAACGATTTGGTTAAACATAATTTTATGTCTAGTAGCGTTTTTTAAGTGAAAATGAAGTGTAACTGTAATACTAATCTAAAGTGAGGGACATTCCAGGCATTTCACGATGGGTAAGAAGTAAACTGTAAGCGAAAGTTAAAAAGGGGAGTGCATCCAAAGTATATATTTTCGTCGAATTGCACGATTTTGAGGATTTAAGCAGTTAGGTATTCTGATTCTTCACTTTTATTTTATTGATACAAACATGTTCGTTTATATCCACGCCCTTTTAGGTTGCAAAACATTGTAGTTTTTATTTATAGAGTTTTGATTGTTAGTTTTTTTTTTTTTTTTTTTTTTTTTTTGTGCTAGAACAACATATTTGCGGGGGTGTGGGGGGACTGAACAAAAAGGGATTTTCGAGCAAAAACTCTAATATAAAATGAGGTGAAGTTAAGTTTTGATATTTTTAATACAATATATATCTATATCTATATCTATATCTATACTACTTATAAAAGTGGGAATGTTAGGGGAGGTTTCTTCCCTTTTTTGTGATGACCAAAATGCCCCTATCAAAATTAAAATAATTAATATTAATTTATAATTAGTCTTTTAATGTATGTTTATGAAAATAATTGATATTTTTTAGAGTTCAATGTATAAGGCATCTGAAAAGATGAACTCATGTATCTATTAAATGTTAGTCATATAAGAAATTCAAAGAAACTCAATGGTCGATAATTCAATATGAATTTCAATTTTGCATCAGTTACACCAAAGAAGAAATAAATGATCCTAACTTCCAGTTTCAAGTTCTCATTCATCTTTTCTTTCTCTTCTCGATTTCTTTTTCGTTTTCTTCTTTTTTATTTTTATTTTTTTGTTTTCAGTTCTATGTTTAATTGTTTGAACCCTAAATTTTGAGAAATTGATAAAGTTTTCTAGATTAATGAAGGAATAAATCCTCCATATCAAGATCGGATTGAGCCTCTGTTAATAAAGTTCGTAAGTTATTTTGCATATTTTTCCCACTTCTATGTATAAGTTAATTTTTTTATTCATTTGAATTAATTGACCTAATGAGACATGTATGGGTTATATGCATGGGGATTATTGATTTAAAATTATTTCTACTCAGGTAATTCATAACACGTGTTTCAGTTTCATAAAATTAATGGTCTATGCATGGGGATTATTGATTTAACTTTTATCTACTAAATTTACTTGCAATTACATTTTATTTTTCCATTCAATTCTTTATTTATGTATTGGCAGGTAAGATTCATTGTGATATAGTTTGTGACTAAGAATGTTATACGTGAAGTTTGTAAGGACTTTCTATTTCAATTGACTTCTTCTTGTCATCTCAAATTCACGTATGTACATTATCAGGGGCTCATAACAAAAGAAAGAAAATGTATTGATCCTGCAACTGCTTTATTTGCTTAATCCAAAGGTGATGTTGCATGACTTTGGGTTTAGTCAGTGATCCAATCTCATCAAAGTTGTTAGTCTTTCTCCAACAAGATTAAGCTATAAATTTTCTGGAAACCATAATTTAATTTTTGATTTACGTGGCTCTTGGTATTCCACATCCCGTTTATGAAAATAGGAATTGAACTGCCGTGTTATTAATCTTTGCTAATGTTATGAATTGTGAGTGGATAAATAGGAAATAATTTGTTAAATGGGCTTTATATTGCTATTGGTAGTTTTGCATTAGATGATTATATTTGATTGTCATGTTTTAGTTACTCGGAGACTTCACTTTTGGTGGCTTGACTATCTCTATTGGTTAGTGATATAAATTTTAGGGGAAATTCTACTTTCCCCCCTTTTACTTTGGCTCGATATCACTTTACCCCATTCTATTCATTTGTCCCCCTATACTTGAAAAATTTTCTCAACGTGGTCCTCGCTGTTAGTTGTCTGATATTTGACCTTAACGCTGTTTGATCTAATCTCTAAAATTACAAAACTGCCACCTAAAAATAATGATAATAATAATAATAATAATAATAATAATAATAATAATAATAATAATAATAATAATAATAATAATAATAATAATAATAATAATAATAATAATAATAATAATAATAATAAAATAATAAAAAAATCAAGAAACGAGAAAACATAGTCAACGACGTCTGCCACCATTTATTTTATTTTTTTTTTGAATTTTTTAATAATTATTTAAGCTAGGAGGAGTGGTTTTTTTTTTGTAATTTCCAGACTTAGATCAAACGGTGTTAAGGTCAAAGGTCTGAAAACTAACGGCGATGGCCATATTGAGACAATTTTTCAAGTAAAGTCATATTCAGCCAAAGTATAAGGGGGAAAGTGGAATTTACCCTAAATTTTATGCACTTGACTGAGGTTTTATGTTGTCTAATGATAGACAAATATAACATGAAATTAAAAGTTATTTCTCATGTAATTTATTTATATAAACTTGTTTCCATGATTTTTATTTTGATGGCAAAAATTTTAATGCCCCTTGATTGTTTTATCTTCTATATTATTTGAATTTTTAGTGATTTTATTTGTTCATGAACTTCTTTATTTTCCAATTCATATTTTTTCCCTCTAAATATTAGGGTCCAATGGCTATAGATAGTTTCCTTTTCAATTTAGTAAGTTTTGTGTTTACTCCAAATTAAAAATCATGAGTTAAGTTTTAGGCTCTGATTGAATCATCAGTCTCCTTCTCCTTCGTGCAGACAATACCTCTCACCTTATGTAAAACACTTGTATTCGCTGTCGTGCTCTCATAAAAAAATTTAATGTTATTAGATATTAAATTCCTTTAACACAAATCTTCGATCTGGTTCCCATTACTATTCAGGTGAGTTTTAGGGAGATATTATTATAGAAAATCTACGAGCCATTCAAGGGGATACTAGAGTGAATTATGCCAGTTTACTTTATATGCTTTATCACCGTTATTATTGGAGATATTAGTGACAAATGATACACTTCACTAATAGCTTAAACTTTCGGTTGAGGTAGTCATTTAACAAGGTATCAGAGTCAGACCAAATGAAAGGTCATGAGTTCGAATCCCACCGCCATCCATTTCAAATATTTCAAGTGCAAGGCTTCAAATGTAATTTGCTTAAACTTTAGGGGGCGAATTGAATATATTAGTATTAAATAATAATAGCTTAATTTTTGGTTGAGGTGGTCATTCAACAACTATATTTGGTTCGTTTTTTTTTTCCTTTTATAGCAAGTCGATGTGATCCGTCAAAACTACAAGATAAGGATGTTGGATGTACATCATTTTTCTTAGACATGACAGGCATGGGAGGTACAACCGTACATGTGAAGTCAACAACAAATGGATTCTCCGATCCATGGTGTAGTCACATGATGATGAAACTGATAGCTGAAGGACAAAATGAAGCCATCCAAAATGCATAGGGCAGAAATTTCAGCTCAATCTTGTATTCTCGAATGGTTTTACTAAATAGTTAGTTTAAGGAAGCTAAGTGAAGAAATGGTTGTACATGTAGTCCGTTCTTTGTTTTGATATTTCATGACATACCAATGGTTGAAGACAAAATGTTTTAGTTTCATTAATATATTTCATTGTTTTATTGAGGATTGTAGCAGGTTTTACTGTATACAGGTCAAGATTATGCTCTTGATACGCTCTTTTATAATGCATTCAAATAGACAATCAACTCAGTGCTCTAGAATAAAGAAGGCACATTTTACTACCCTTGAGATACAAGTTCACTTGAGATATATCTTTCAATCTTTGTAACATATCAAAGATATCATTGTATGCAAACTTATGGACAATATCTAAAGTTCTTCCATGAATTATTTATTCTTTATAATTAGACATAGTTTCACTTTGTGAAATTATTATGTCATTATTTTGACAGGATGATGGCCTGATACATAGTATGTCAAAGTCAAAATGCCCTGAGGTATGTTATTAAAATATGCAAGTCTCCTTTTTGTTTATGAGAACCTCTCATCTTCTATGTTTCGAATTTATCTAAATTCTCTAACTCTAAAACGATCGAGACCATTATAGAGCTACTCTAGACTTGCGGTCATGTGGATTGATACTCTTTGTAAAGGTTGCACGAACCTAACCTTCTCTTTACACTACTGTGAAGCATATAGACCAATTAAATTTGTGTAAAGTATGTTTGGAACATAATTTATATTCATGCTCTTTGCTAGCTGGAAATTATGTTAATGCACAAGCTTCTAAGTCTTTTGTTTATTTTTCTAATGTATGTTTCATCATTCAATAAGAAAAAAAATGGAATTGGTTAAAGAGAGGGTAATCCATAATAAGCAGAGT